AATATTCCATTACACTTCACAGATAGGCTTATAAGGTGGGATGTGTGTGTAGCTATAATACATATATATCTATATATAAATAATGGCTCCACTAAAAGAATATTGCATTACATTTTACAGATAGGCTTATAAGGTGGGGTGTGTGTGTATATAGCTATAATACATATAAATCTATATATTTATAAATATATGTAATATACAATATATAAAAATATATTTATACATATATAAATATATACTTATATTTCTATATTTATCTACACACAGAAATATATCTATAAATATATAGAAATACAGATATATGAGCTAAAGTCCAATATATTTGGGTGGGTCTACACTTTTCCATTGGACAGCAAAATAATTTGGCTTAAAAGAAAAAAAAAAAAAAAGATCACTTGGGACTGGAGAGATGGCTCAGCGGTTAAGAGCATTGACTGTTATTCAAGACGTCCTGAGTTCAATTCCCAGCAACCACATGGTGGCTCACAACCACCTATAGTGAGATCTAAGGCCTTCTTCTGGCCTGCAGGCAAACACACAGACAGAACATTGTATACATAATAAACAAACCTTAAAAAAAAAAAAAAAAAAAAAAAGATCACTGATAACTGAGAATGCAACCTTAGATCCTCTCTAATTTGCAAGCTCACAGTAAATTATTTTTTTAAAACTTTTACTTGTTTGAAGCTGTATAAATCATTTTGCGTTTGAAAGTCACAGGATTAAAATGATTTAAAAATGCTGCTAATGGGTTGGAGCGATGGCTCAGCACTTTAGAGCACTAGCTGCTCTTCCAGAGGACCCAGGTTCGATTCCCAGCACCCACATAGTGGTTCACAACCGCCTGTAACTCTAGTTCCAGGGGATGCTATGTCTTCTTCTGGTCTCCCCAGCACCAGGCAAGCACACAGTGCACAGACATACATGCTCACACCCTTTTTCTTTTTTAATTTAATGCTGGTTTTTTTTTTTTTTTTTTTTTTTTTTACTTTAGAAATGCTGTTTGAAAAGCCGGACAGTGGTGGTGCACACCTTTAAACCCAGCACTCGGGAGGCAGAGGCAGGTGGATTTCTGTGAGTTGGAGGCCAGCCTGGTCTACAAAGGGAGGTCCAGGATAGCCAGGGTTGTTACACTGAGAAATCCTGTCTCGAAAAAACAAACAAACAAAAAAACAAACCGACGTTTGAGGAATCATACCAAGAAAAGAATTTGGGGGTGGTGGGTAGTTTAAAGTGGGGCTAGAGAGATGGCTCAGAAGAGCACTTGTTGCTTTTTCAGAGGATGAGTTTGGTTCCCAGCACCCAAACTACGGCTCACAACTGTCCTTAGCTCCAGTTCCAAAGGATTTGAGGAAGGACATCTGACTTCGTGGTTATCAGGCGCACACACGGTGCACGTACACGCAGGCAGGACATGCATAGACGAAAAAATAAAAATAATCCTTAGAAGACAAAACTGTCTCCTCGTGGTTTGTACACGACTGACCTATTTTCAGTAAAAGCCAAACTGTCCAAGAGACGGAGGTAAGTTGGAAGTGAGTTAACCTTTCTTGTCAAGTCGGTTATTACCTCCGACACCTGTCTCTACAGCTTTAATCTGAAAGTGCTAATGACCCTCATAAGACAAACGAGATTGCAAATGGTTTCATTACAGAGGGCCCGTGTTGACTGCTAATTAAATTCAACTGCTGTTGTCTTAAGATTTTTTTTGGGGGGTGGGGGGGGTCCTCCCAGAAGCACTCTCCTCCACCCACCGTCAAATATAACCTGGAAATAACTACAGTGAAAGCCAGGGCACACGAGGGAAGTCGCCTGGACCACTTCACAGTGGGCACGTCGGATGCTGCACCCCTCGGAAGGGTTCCACAGCTTGGGGGTGGGGTGGGGAGATCACCACTCCAGGGACAGAGGGAGGCAGGGTAGGGGTGGGCTCCGAGGCTGTGAAGACAGAGCACCCCGCCGGGGCCCAGGGGACCCCCACTCCAGAAAGGGTCCCACAGCAGGCGTGTCCCCCCCGGTACTCACTGTCGATGTCCTCGATGAGGCTGGCGGTGCCGGGCATATAGTTCATTTTGAGCTCGGGCAAGGCGGCACCGGACCGCCGCGGTAGGGCGAGGGCGTCCAGTCGCCCGTTGGATGCGGACGGGAACCCGCCGCTCACCTGCACCTCAATTGCCGCTAGCCGCCGGAAGCGCTCTCCGCTGGCCCCACCCACTTCCGGCACCGCGCGTCCGTCCACATAAAGAGGCGTGCCGAGCGTGCGATCGCCGGCACGGTGTCTTCCTCTCCCGGCAGGGAAGTGGTGTGCGGGCCCGGGAGGACGGAAAGCGGAGGGGATGCGTTTCTCCCTGCTTGACGGGCGCGTCGCCGCGCTGGGCTTTCCTGCTCCGTGGCCCGGAGTGGCGGCTACGGTCCATCTCCTCCCGGCGCTCGGCGTGCTGGGGG